GGGCCGGCGGGTCAGTGGGCGTCTCCGAACGTCACGCGGCACTGTACCCGGCCGCACGGTGCACTAAAGCCAACATTTAGACGACAGAAATTCAAAAAATTCAAGTTCAACTAAATTTGAGTTAATCTGTGCAATAGCCTTCTGTGTATAGCCTCCTAATAACCACGTCGAAGTATTATTTTCATGATTTAGCAGTGTTTATAAGTATTTATTAAGCGTTTAGGTTCTGATGTAGAACATTCAGTTGACGTTTAAAAGCAGCAAACGTGAGTATGATTTCTGGTAAGTTTAAGGAAAGGTGTGAATGCTCGTTTATTTTCTTATATTAATTTTATAAAAAGTAAAAATTGTACGTCTATATTAGGTAAGATATGCCTTCTTTATTTTCTAATATTAACAAAATGTGCTAAATGCTGTCCAAAAGTAATATATAACCAGACTAATGCCGTTACTTTCGTACAAATTTCAAGCACCGATAGGTACCTTCAGAGAAATTACAGAAAATTATAGATGTATCAGGTTTAGTTGACCTGATGCATCTATACCTTGATTGTCGAAAATTTGATTTGTATAAAGGCACAATTCCAACACATTTTTCATATAATATGTAAGATATAGAAGTACCCCCATGCAATTGCGCTCTGACCAATGTTGCCCAAGGGAGAGGTAAAGGTACTGAGTCCTGCAGGTCAGGAAGCCAGCACCTAACATATGAGCTCCTTCATTAAATATGTGCTTGTGTAATAAAAAAAATGAATTTATTGAAACCCTTTAAATGCCAAAAAGGAATTTATTTTTCATGTGCTTTTCTCATACTAGATCTTCCATCTAGTTATTTAAAATAACAATCAATTTGTTTTCATTCTGAAAAATGTATTTCTACATTTTTATGAAATTTACATTAACTTTAGAAGATCTGCGGCGATGTGCCGATTGTGGACCACTGTGTGGCGTCGGGCCGTTTGGCATCGTCGCTTTCACCCGCGCCGCACGAAGTGCAAAGAGCAAAGATCACATCGATGTCGCTGCGACAAAAGGAAGAGACAGCTTCTGCCAATTAGCCGCACGCTGCCACGCGAAGCCGAGGAACATTGGCGTTTCCCGGGAGCGGCAGGCGCCTCAAATCTCTTCCGCGCTTTTTACGAGTATCATTAACGACACGGAAGGTCTCCATGAGTTTGTTGTGAATAAGATTCTAAAAGGAAAGGAGCGTATTTTCAAAGCTTGGAGTTTCGTAATTTCTTCATAATAAGCGAAGGTGGTAATAAAGAGAATTTAACAGAAAGAGAGTGTATAAGAGGAGGTTATATTTACATTTTGTGTGTGAAATCATTTCCTGTATTTATTTATTTCGTATAATTTATAATGTACAGCTAGAAAAAAGATTAATGAAATGGTATGTATTATTCAATATTGCAACGAACATCGCTCACTAATTTTCTCGCAATTACTGAAGCAGCGAATAAAGAGAAACGGCCGGCTGTCCAGCGAGTTAACCGGCACATTACACACGCACCCGACTTACGATATTCATTATCTTTTAACTGGCGCCGCAAATTACGGCGCGCAACCTCAAGCGCGTAATTAACGGGACAAAATATCCACGCGATCGGAAACACGAAAGTTCTCCTTTTATCCTCTGCCCTCCCCCGCTACCTTTTTTTTACGCCGTTTCATTTCTGATCTTTTGAAGAGCGCATTATCTGTTGCTTACGGGCAGCGAATACTGGGGCCGCTTCACCGACCGCGCGCCGTGCAGCCTTCCGCTCCACGGGCGCAGGTTAGAATTTTCCGCGCCAGAGGGCAGCGCGCGCGGGCGGGG